TGGCCTGGACTTGGCCGTTGGGAGATGCTCACCCAAGGTCCACAACAAAGTGACTCCGGGAGCGCTCGACACTCGCAGCCCCAGCGCCATACATGCCCCCCACCGCCCCAACGCAGCGAGCGGCGTGCGCCCCGCCACGGTACCCCCCCTTCCCTCCTGCTCCCCGACAGCGCGACATGTAGGAACTGCATCGCCCGATTTCCTCCGGTTTAGTTCATTGTCAGGAGCCAAACAAGCCCAACTGTTTTCGTTGGAATTGGCCTGCAGTCCCGTCATGCCTTACTTCCTCTGAGCAGACTAAGTGTTATTTAACAGGCAGCTCTGATTATTTTGGAAAGATGTTCATTTTTTTTGAGAAGGGGAGAATATATCGAAGCTGATTGTATTGGCTGCTTGTGCCTATTTTTTCTGGATGGCCTTCTCTCTCTTTGTATAAAATGTCAGATACAGACCTGGGCAGCTTTTCAAGAGGGGCACTATGCCACTGTCACATGCAACTTACATAATGGAGTTGTCACCTCTGTCATGTTAAGCAGGCAATAAAAGGAAATACAGGCACACTGGGGAGAGGTGTCCACACTCAGTTACCCCAGAGCACACCCAAGCAAGTCAATAAGAATGTGGTCCAAAATAAGTAACAGCAGGAAGAGCTGATAAAGCTCCTTTTGCTGCTGTTATTTATCTCCCTAACGTGCCACCTGATAATACAACTGAAGCCTGTTAAAGAGGAGCGGCCCTCCTCCATTTCTCGACGTGGGCTTCGAAAAGACAGGCAAAGAGTAAATATTTTAGTGCAACTGAAAGTGTCTGTGACTCTTTGTATCATCGTAATTTTTCTGGGAGCCGCTGGCTTCATTCTCTTTCTCAGCCCTTCCCTCAGGACAGTTCACTCCAGGAGCTCTGCATTTTCTCAGAAAATCACTAACGTTCTCTGTAACAATTGGTATTGTTCACATTAAAGAGAGAGAAAGTGAGAGAGGGAGAGAGGAGCCCTCCCTCGTTCTGTCTTCTAACCCTTGTTTTTCCATTTCCTTACTTTCAAATCATAGTACAGCGAATGTTCAAGGTCTTCCTCCCACCTGCTTCTCCAAGGCAGTTTTAAATTAGCCACGATTTCCTTCTCTTCTCAGCTTCTCATTTTTTCCTAAGTCTGTACTATCAAATCCTAACGCCCTCCTTTCCTTTTTGTTATTCCAGACAGCCCAGCATCATTCTGCTCATTCATTAGGACACTTCCGCCCACTCCACAGATCCAATATTCTCCACCTCTGCTCTGCACAAATGCTTTCATCTCCACATTAGTCTAGCTCTTACTTCTAGCAGCTGCTTTTTACTGCCTTCTTTTTTTTTTTGTCTCTTTTGTGAGCAGCCCTTCCCACTCTGCAGGGCTGCCGAGTCTTTCTGAGGCGAGTTCTTTCCTGGGAGGAGCACGGCAACAGCAGCAGAGGTCGCTTGCTGGAAACCCCATTTTTGTTTATTTCAGTATTAAAAAAAATTGCCACTAAGTCCAAAGGGGCCCGCCCTATGCTCTGGGCAGCATTATAGCAATTCAAACTACAATGTCATTGATATTAATAGCAAGAAATAGCCACAGCTTATTCCACTACAACTCCCTTGCTCCCACAGTGCTCCCAATGACAATTGAAACTTCAGATGAAATTAAGAAGATCCCGCCCCAACAAATGTCTTAGGCAACCTCCCTCCGAGGGAAACTGGGCCCTAAGGCATGGCCAGAAAGGTAACGAATCCAGGCTGCTGAAGACCATGGGGAAGTGAATCCCAAACCAGCAGCTCCCCCTCCATGTAAGAGAGGTCTCCAGGTGGCATCCTTTTCGCAGCCTCAACAAGGCCGTGCAATGCAGGAAGGGGGAAGGCAACCTCTGCGGCCAGCACATCTCGGACCACACACGCTACAGGCCAAATTCCCTTCTCCAAGGAAAGACATGTTCCTTGAGAGTACGGGAGATGGGGAATAGTCTTCAGGCCAAAGAGCGCTGCTCTCTATTCACAGTCTCACCAAGGTCTTCCACACAGGCACTGAGAAGACCGTTATCTCACTGAGGCATCGCAGAGGAAGTCATGCTCTGACAGTCTCTGGACAAGGGAAGACGATGCACAGGTTTGTGGGTTTATTCCCACCTCTCTGTGAAGGAACAGAATCTGAGTCACTGCAAAGAAGTTGATTCTCCTGTTGCACTGGGCTAAAGGAAGCCTTCAGAGACTGCGCTTTGTTAGAAATAATCTTTTGCTCCCTGTAGGTACAACGAGAGGACCTGCGTCTCCAGAGGCTAGTGAGCCCTCTTCTCAGCTCTCTCAGGAAACTACTGCAAGTGCTACTTGGTAGCAAGGTGTGGTACTATCAGACCTGAGCACTGCCAAGTCATTGGACAATACAAATCTGGCCAAACAGAAGTTCATAGACCTAATCACTCACCTACATGTTTTCCTGATTTAGCAACTGGCCGTGCTGATCTCCTCCAGAGGCAGCTCCCACGTGAGACAGCCTGCTCTGCAGGAAATGTCTGGAGGTGCAGGGTTTCGCTCTCGCCAACGGATGTCCCTGGTTTTCCACAGCAGGCTAGCAGTGCTTTAGGGGACCAGATGGAGCACAAAAGGCAGTCAGGGAGCAGCTGACAAAGGACTCCGGGATGGGAAGGCAGAGATGCAGGAGCCACAGAGCACCTTTTCTTACCTCAAGACATCCAAATGGTTTAGGAGAGGGTTATTTTTTGGATCTTATGGATCTTTTCAAAGTACCTGTGAGGCAAAATGTTCCCAGGTCCTACAGCAGCCTGATTAGTGTTGCCGTAACTCTTCCCTGGAAAATACATGCTCCCAAACACAGCACAAATTCCCTCCTGTATAATGCTCCTCTGCACTCCGGCATTCTGCAGTATGGATGTGATCCAAGTCCTACAAAGCAGTACTTTTGCCTCCAGGACACCCACGAGGCTTTCTAGTAGGCACTAATGGCAATTCCAAATATGCTTCTGAGGACCTTAGCGGTAGTTTGGCACAGGTCCCACATGTGCCCACACTGTGCTGTCAGAGCAGACCATGTCACTGAAGTGATTGTCCCCTCTCCTCATGCTTCACCCCAGAGTTTGAGCAGGCCGGGACCCTCTGCATCGGCTCAGCGGACCCCATGGCAGAGCAGATCAGACCTGGGGGAGCACTCCCAGCACATCTGTGCTGAGAACTGCCTCTGCCATGTCACCCGCTGTTGACCGAAGCAGCTGACTGAAGGCCATTGAGATCAAAGGTGAAAAAGGCCTCATTCACAAAACATCCTGGGTGAGGCAGGCACACTGGAACAACAGGGATTGTTACAGTGGGCAGTCCAAACTCGGGAAAACTGGCAGCCATCAAGGAGAGGTCCAAATGCTGAGAGCATCCCTGTGAGCAGAGCAGCCTGCAGCCCCATCTGAGAGGAGAGCGACCCATGAAGACCTGGCCCAGGCCAGTCGCAGCCCCCGTGGGAAAGCGGTGGGATGGCTGGTCAGATCAGCCACAAACAGACCATGCCACAGCCAGCACAGCACAGGCCAGGCCAACATTACCTCCACAACGCAGCTTCCAGCTGGCATTGTGAGCTGATGCTGGGGCCGGTACTGGGCGCAGCCGCGGCTTTTCTAGTCCAGTCCTGGACATGATCTCATCTTTCCATGGCCTTACGACTCCTCTCTCACTATGGCTGAACTGCTCTCCACCACCTGCGGAGACCCACAGACACCCCCTACCTCCTGTGCCCACCAGCTGCTCTCTAGATGGTCTCTCCCTCCCTAGGCTCTCCTCGGGCTCCTCACTTTATTACTTCTCTTCTCACACAAGGCTCAAGGAGTCATAAATGGAGTAACCTGTGGCAAGGTCTAAAACTGTCCCATCTTTAAAAAGCCACAAACGCACTGCAACCTGTAAAAGCTATTCAGTCCCACCACAACTGTGACACATTTAGCCCTGAGGAATAAGGGCTAAACTTGCCTAGCTTTCAAATGCAAAAATATGTATGTGCACAGAACTGTTACAGTGCAATTTACTCCAAGTCGATGCTCCATTTATCTATCCATAGCCTTGGCATCTCGTTGCCTTTATACTCCTAAATCACTCTTCTTACTTTCAGCACACTCCCCTCCTTTTAATTCTGCAACTCTTCAAGCGAGATCTCACACTAATGATCTCTGCATACCTCTGCATTCTCATTTTTCAAAATGCTGCCCCATCTCACTTACCATGCAAACATGTTAAGACACAGAGCTAAAATGCCATGCCAGAAAAAGCAACCAAAGGTGTTTTTGTACATGCAGCGGTCAGCATGCCCCGCCGAGGGAGCCTACCAGCACATAATTAACATCCTAAGCTTCTGAGCCTGATGAGTCCTGTTCCTTCTCCTGTTCAAACTGTAGAGACAAGAAACGTCATCCTCTCCAGTGTCTCACAAATCCTGAAACCTGCGTGGAGACAGAGAAATGGAAAGGGAAAAAACATCACGGTGCCTAGCAAAACCATCATTAGGACCTGGGATCTCCTCACGTTTGTAGAAACAGTGATTGCCCCTTACTGGAGAGCGCAGGCTTTCTTAGGTGACTGAAGAAATCTTATTCAGATGCAGTCACGGAGTCCTTCCCCTTGAACATACAAATGAGCCTTGCACACATATGCTGAGATCAAGAAATCTGAGGAAGGCAAAATGGAATCTGAACACAGCAGAAGGAGAGAAGCTTGCCCACAACAAATAGCTGTAACACCACAAGCCACTTTTTTTTCCCCCGCTTGCCTGCCATACTGAAAACCTGCTCAGTTTACAGGCTGTTGTCCTCTGGGTCAGGGGAGCAAAGGCATGCAGCACTGCATGCTAATTCTGCTCCAATGCTCCAGCAGTGACTGGACATTTCAAACATAGGGCATAAAAGCCCCCACGGGCACCGAGCCAAACCTCGCTCTGCTGCATTCTTGCACAGGCGTCAGAATCAGCGCAGAAACACATTGGCCCAGGACCAGAATCTTTGATTTATTGATTTATTTCAAATACATTGTTCCTCTTACACCTCCACCTCTCCCCACAAGGACACAAGACCTTTGTGCTTTTCTGATGACTTCATTTGTCGTACTCCACTCCCACAAGCTATAGGTTGGGGATTGGATGACTGACTTGACCCAAACTGGCTGACAAGACTTCTCATCTGCTTGGCATGGCATTCAGAGAAATCAGTTCACTGAAGTGTCAATACTGCATTAAATTCAACTGTGATTTCCAGGCGTGCCTGGAAAGGCACCATCACAGTTGGTGGGCTTATTGACAAATTCAGGAGGCAGACCAGATGTGAAGAAGCTCTGGGACTGAGCATCCGTCTCATTTCCTCACACTCTGAAGGCGAATCTTCCACCCTAGATGTGTGACACCTAATATAAAGAACAAAGGTTTTAATTTTCCGGAGTCGTCTTGCCAACACTTCTCATAGGCATAAAGCTCACTACTGAGGTTCCTCCCAAGTAATATCAACGCCACCCTTTCCCAGGCTTAAGGGACATTTAAGCCCTTTTTTGCTCTATAGTTCAGCTGTTCAGCATCGATGGGATACATGCAGGTGTGAAGACAGATGCAGATACACATAGAATGAGCCACAGCTATGCTAAAAAGACAAAGCACAAGAAAAGCATTTAAAAACAACCCCCACCCTGAATGAACACCCCTCGCACAAAAAAACCTTCCCTTTCAGGTCCATCTCTTTTCAGGCATACAGTCTATCCCTGGATTGCCTTTTTGAATCCTGCTTAGTCCTGCCACTGAACCAGCCTTCATCCCACCCCAAAGCCTGTCCACCTCATCTCCTCTTATCATCAATAGTTCCTCTCAGCATTTCCTCAATTGTCCTTCTCCCGGTCCTTATAAACTCATTTAACACCTTTTTTTTTTTTGTCCTGTTAATAATTTTCCATTCCTCTCATCTTTCTCACTTTTCTTTAGACAGGAGGAGGGAACAGGCTCTCCCAACTTTAACAGCCGCTGCCCGGTAACGCATCGTTGGCAGCAGGCAGAGGGTAAGCTCTGCCGGCGCCCGACCGCTCTGCTGCCAGAAACGAGCCAGCCTAGGCAAGGGCGCATGTCAGGAGAAAACCTCCACAGCGGCAACTGGATTCCCCAGCTACGTAAGACACATATTTTTCATTATCTACATAAATTTCTCCAGATTATTACCCCTGCAAAAAAGTATGTCCCAGTTTTTTTCCCTACCTGCTCAGCTTGGTAAGATTGAAGACCTGTTTACAGTAGATCACTGTAGAGTAACAGTGCTGAAATGGAAATCTACAGTTGTTTTTGCCACTACAGGCTAAATAAAACAAAGACTCAAATAAGGCTAGACGTAGTTTGGCTAAGAATCAAACCAAAGATATCAGTACTGTTCCAGTACTTTGACTATTTTACAGTACATCCATCACTAACTGGACACAAGGCTGCATTATTCTTTGAGATGTATTAGAAGCAACCTGCCAAAGTGAGCAGGAAAATTGAAAGCACCGTGGAAATGTGCTCTGAATGGCTGCACTACCCAGACTGTGGAGGGCATTCAGCATAGGAACGTGTATATGTATATATATGCATATATCTGTGTGTGTGTGTGTGTATACATTCATATGCATGTATGTGTGTATATATATAAATCTCTCTGTATATATAAATTCTCTCTATATAGAAAAACTCTCTCTCTCTATATATATATCTACACACACACACACACACACACACACACACACACACTCTCTCTCTCTCTCTCTCTATATATACGTATATAAAAAAGTCAGTTCATAGTTGGCTAGCTCGTTCCAGGTCAGCTGCTGATGTCCCAGAATGCACCATTTTGGGACATGCTGAAATGACAAGGCTTTCTGATATGAAAATCACTTTGTAGTTTCATACTTCTGGTCCACAGAGCCTTTCTCTATAAAATTTCTCCTATTTATTTAATTGCTTTTGCATATGACCTTGTTCTCAAAGCTCCCCGAGTCGCATATTTAGCCTATACTCCTGCAGTTGCTTCAGTATGCAAATTTCCTGCACCAGTCTCTTTGAGGTGCCGTATCTGAAAAGTCCGCGTGCATTTTTATGCCACCTGGGGGCCACGGCACGGCTCGCCTCCCCGCTCCAAGAGCGCAGCCCATCCGCCTAACAGGCTGCCAGCACGTAGGTAACTACCTCAACCTTTCGGGACGAGCCCTGCCACGTAGCCGAATGCAAAAGCCCGACATTCACGTCTTCCACTTGCGGGCTCGGTGCTTAGTCAGCTGTTGCAACAACGTGCAAAACCTTTGCTAAAAGAGCTGTGCTAGAAAATAGCTGATCAGTAAGCCTGAAGTGTCAGAAGCGCCGGGGTAGGTGGAGGCACTGACAGGAAACCCAGGCTGCGAGCGCCCAGCTCGGGGAAAGGAAACCGTTGCCACTCTGCGCAGAGATTGCAGAGCAAGGCTGACACGAGGGCTCAGGCACAGCCAGAGGCATTTTCTCCCTCCCCGTTTAACGATTTTGGGTCGCTGGCACTCAGCACGCCGGGGAGGAAGTGCGGGTTAGCCTACATTTAATGCTTGTCATGGCTCTTACTATTACGCTTGCGGAGAAGGGAGGCAGAGGAGCTATAAACGTTTTTCACCCAAGTGCATGTGAAGCAACCCAAATAAATCACCCTGCGAGGTCTTTTCTTTTTAAGAGTTGGCTAGTTACCCTTAATACCTGCTACAATTAGCATACTAACTTATTTAAATGTTGGAACTCCACAGCTCACAAAGACCTTTTGTGCTGACTTTTCACCACAAACCTGTGAAGTTTGGCAATTTCTTAAGTCAGACTTACCTTCCCTAAAAACGGTGTCAGATGCCTGCAGCAGCGTGCAGGCGGCTCACACAGGGGCTGAATTCTGCTCGCCGGTTCTCCGAGCTGAACGCAGCTCCAGTAGTCGCCTCCTTGCAAGCCAAGGCAGTCGACCCTGGTTAGATCTGGGAACAGCTCTTCCACATGGATCTGAATGGGGAAAAAAAACTAAGCACCAAGGGCTTGGAGTTAACTAACCCCACAGGAATCCCCACCAACAACCCCCACTCTGGCAGCTGCCTCAAGGGAGCTTTCAATTTTAATCACAAATTATTTTCATGAAAACCCACAGTAAAACTAAAACAAGCATCACAGGACAAAGAGGCCTTACTTTGGTTTACAAGCTCATGCAACATCCTTTGGGGGTTCTAGCTCAATTCCAGGAAAAGCAAATAAACAGCTCAGATAAAGCAGATGCATTGCCGCGTGCTCTGAGCAAGCAGCGCTATTGGCTCCGCGTGCACTGCGGTATGCACCAGCGGTTAGGTTCACATGTTGATGCTTCTGGCTAGTATGATCAGTGGTTTGCATTTTGCTGTGTCCACGTACGTACTTTTTACAAACATCACTGCATGTAGTACATCCCTCCGTCTCACTGACCAATCCAAACAGGTAAATCTTTTACAAACCGCTTGTACCAGACGCTGTGATTCTGTGATACCAGCAGCGTCAACTAGTTGAGCATTCAGTGAGGAAAACCAGAAACAAGTTATGTTTGAATCTGCAGTATCCAAGAAGCTTGACCACAGTATAAATATACAGCTGTATGCAGGCAGACATTTAGATGTGTGTGTTACTTCTATGTGTGTGCAACATGCGACAGAGGTGTGGTCTGATACACCAAAGTCCTCACTGCAGATAACAGCTTCTGTAGCGATGGTGGACTATTTTTCGGTTTCCCAATCAGTAGCCTAAGGATTTATCCATCCTTCCATCCAGCCCACAAAGGTCCTGTGAGAATAAGCTAGCTAAGTTATATAAATGTTTTGAAGGCTCAAAGTGTTAAGAATTACATAGGAGGGAGTGGTTTGAAGGAATTTCTGCAGTGGCGCAAGGGAGCGCGGCATCCGTTCAGCGGAGGAGTTGCTCCAGCTGATGTTCAGAGAGCTCCCTCACTCCCCTGGAAAGTCACTCCAAACCAGACAGTTCCTAATTGAATGCATACTTTGAGGAGACTCACATATTCTGTTTTTCCTGGAAAAGCAGCAGAGCTGCGATCATTTCAGCAGTGAGTACGCAGCGTGTCCCGTACAACATGTAGGGCTTTGCCTGGGCTCTGGCCCATGTAAGAGCTTCCCATCATCTCCAAAGTTTGTAGATCAACACAATTTCGGTTCTGTTTCATCTCATCTCTTTTCCCGCTCTGATCCTTGTGGCTGCCAAGTACACATGTTTCCACATCCCTCTTCCCAAAAAAATAAGACGGGGCACTCCATGTACTTTGTGGGACTTGCTGCACATCATGATTAGCATCCTTCATCAGTGGGACAGAAATCAGTTAAATCACAACAGCAACATCACATCAGCAGACAAAAAATCCCTAGGGAGTGCAGCAATTAATTTATCTGGCCGGCATCATACTACCACTGGAGGTGTCAGGAAGGAAATGACAGGTAGGCACCCACAGCACCCACCAGACTCAACGGTAAACAAAACGGAAAACAAAATCCGTAGCACCAAACACAGTGGTGACTTTTCAGCTCAACAGCACGCCCAGCCATAAGGGCGACGAGGAACCCAAGAGTTTGCATCCACCCCTTCCCCTCTCCCGCGGCAGCCCATTCCCATGACATGCGGCGAGGAGCCGGGTTCGCACCTGAGGAGGCATCACAGGCGGCAACGTGCCAGCGCCCTTTGGAGACGCCTTGGCAGGGGAACGGAGCCGTCGGACTCAACGCTGCAGAACAGATGGAGGCAAAAGACAGAGCGAAGGGAAAGA